CAGCATATGGTGGGCTCCGAGCGTTACATATCCAACGCCGTCTCCACCCCCGTCGTCACTTACGTCACAGTGGCGAACAACACACGGCTGCGCGCAAGCGCGCAAGGCATCGTAGTGCTCAAGGCACGAGGGAGCCAAACGCATATCACACTTAACGACGTGTTGATCGTGCAGAACCTGCGCTTTAATCTACTCTCGGCGGCGCAACTCCTGGATTGCGGAGTTATCCTCAGCACCGACCCCGAGACGCGCGACATCCTGCTCCACTTCACGATGCCGAACAAGACACGCAAGCAGATCGGACGGGCGCACGTCGAGAATGGCGTATACGTTCTCGATTTCGACATTCCCGAATGCAGCGGCGATTCGCAGGAGCTGATTGACCTCGTCCCCCTGCGCTTCGAGCACATTCTTCGCCGCGATTGGAAGCACCCTAATGGGCGCCCCTGGGTGCCACACCACCCACACTAGCGCGAGCTGGCGCTGCACGACCCCGATCCCGACGGCGTCTGCAGGAACTGCCACACACCGACGACCTCGACGAGCGCGATCACCGGCCGCGGCCTTGCCGCCATTCGCGAAGCAGAGCGCGACGCACCGCCTGAGGAGGGCCTCTCCCAACTCGAGCTGGAAACAGCCACACGGGTCGTATTCGGCACACTGGAACACCCTCTCCCCGGACCCGCATCCCAGCATCTCCAAGGAATCTCCGCGGCGTCGGCGCCGGTACCTTCGACGCACATGGGAACCCTCGGCCCTACACCGAGAAGAAGGCGGCAGAGATATATGCTCACCGGCGCGATTCGAAGAAACGACTCTCGCCTACGGAGGAAGAGGGATTGGCGCAACACGAAGCCAAAGAGCTTCGGCAGAAGAGTCTCGCCGAGGCACGCGGAACGCTCGCCTGGGAGCAGGACGAGGAAAGCGCCTCCAATGAAGGGGGGTGGGGGAGCGCCAGCGGTTGGGGAACGAGCGACACAAGCGGCTGGGGTGCCGCAACAAGCGGCTGGGGCGGCGCAACCGGCGGATGGGGCGCAGCAACAGGCGAAAACATCGGCGGATGGGGCGCCGCACAAGGCGGCGAAACGAGCGGCTGGGGAGCTTTCCGCGAGGAACAAAGGGGGGAAGAGGAAGAAGAACCTGCGCAAGTTGAGGTTGAACCTCCTATTCTCCCTCTCGGACGCCCTCCGCGCCGCCTTGCATTAGGACCTCCGCCACCAGACATCCCCTCAGGCAGTGACCCCTGGGATACCATCGACTGGGGCAATGAGCCATCCACTCCGCGTCGTACAGTCTACGGACCTGCACCTGAACCGCGCGAACCAACATACATCCCCGGCACGATCCCCGGAACCAACATCCCCTACTCCATCATCCGCGACAGAGAATTCCTCGCCCTCATGCTAACGACAGCGAATGAGGAAGGAGAAGAGAATGAGGAAGCAGCGCCCACACCTACACCGGCACCTGACGAAGACCCCGCAACTGCACTCGCGCCCTACATGCGCACCTCCGGATTCCGCGCCGACGACGCCATCTGGCATCAGCGCCTAGATCACCCTTCGCGCACGACTCTAAAGAACTGCATCGAGGCAAGCGTCTTTGCACCGGGCGCGCTGCTGCACCCTGATGGCTCCGAAGTGAGAGGAAGAACTCATCCGCGCAGCTGCACCGTCTGCCTCGAAGCTGCGTTGAGTCACCAGCCCTTCCCCCTACTCGACCCAGGAACCAATCGCTACGCCAAGCTTGAGAAGGTTTACAGTGACTTTCTCAACGTGGGACACGGCGGCATCAACGACGAACTCTACATGCTCACCTTCGTCGACGCCGGAACACGCCACGTGTGGGTCATAAACGTGGAAGCGCGCAGCAGAGCCTACGAAGCATTTCGCCTATGGCTGGCGCACGCGCACCAGCAATCTGGGGAGAAATTGAAGATCTGGCAGTCAGATGGCGCGGCGAAGTTCAGAAGCAAGGAGCTGCAGGATTTCCTTGCGCAAAAGGGGATCGAGCATCACATTTCTCTCCCCTATGCGCACCAGCAGCAGGGCGTAGCAGAACGCACGAATCGCACACTCATGACGAAGGTGCGGGCTCTAATGCGGCAGGCGAAACTTCTGCCGATCTACTGGACCTATGCGATGCACCACGCCGTGCGGGTGCACAACCTGCTGTCAACCACCGCAATCACCGGCAACTCCTCGCCGCACGTGAAATGGACGGGAAGAAAGGGGGACACCTCCATGCTCCGTGTCTGGGGGTGCATGGTTCAATACCGACCACCAACATCAACCATCGGGAAGTTCAAGAGCCGCGCGCGCTGGGGAATCCACCTCGGCATCAGCCATGAACACAAGGCGTGGATTATCCTGGATCTCCTGAGCCAGAAAATCAAGAATGCGCGCGACGTCATCTTCTACGAGCGACTGTTTCTGCAACAATTCCGTGACGACGAGCAGACGAACGCAAACCGCGTCTACGCCAATGAGGGCCACAGCTACGCTTCACCTGAGGACGAAGCTGCAGCAGTAATTCTGGAGCAGGATCCAAGAGGGGAGTTCACAAGGGGCGATCGCCGCAACGACGACGACGACGACGATGATTCAGAAGAAGGAGGAACGGGTGCAACAAGAGGCGCAGCGGGAGGAGGCGCAGCAGGAGGAAGCGGAAGCGGCGGAGACACAGCACCACCAGCACCGCCTGAACCAGAAAGCGACGATGACGACGTACAGGAAGTCGTCACCCAACATCGCCATGACAGCACCATCACTGGCCTTCAGCTTCTGGGACTTCACGCTGCCATCTCCACTGCTCCGCGCATCATCGAGCCTAAGAACCCACGACATGCTCTCACATGCCCACACAGCAAGGAATGGCGCGAAGCAATGAATGCAGAAATACGGGCACTTCAATCACGCGACACTTGGGTGCTTGTCGACCGTGCAGCAGTGAAGGGCAGAAGAATCCTCTCCGGCAAGTGGGTCTTCCGCGTGAAGACAGGAGCTGACGGGACGATTGAGCGATTCAAGGCGCGCTGAGTGGTGCGCGGCTACGATCAGAGGCACGGGATTGATTTCGACCAGACGTTTGCGACGGTCAGCCGTCACACGTCCGTCAGAATTTTGCTCGCCATCGCAGCCGCACGCCACCTACCACTTCGGCATATCTATGTGAAGAATGCGTTCCTGTACGCATTAGTGGACGCCGTGATCTACGTGGAGCAGCGTCACACATACGGCGACGGTGATCCACACGTTTGACAGCTGCGCAAGTCCCTCTACGGGATCAAACAGGCACCAAGGCTCTGGCAGCAGTACCTGCACAACATACTGCTTGAAATCGGTTCAAGCAGCTGCCTCACGATCCTGGGATGTATCGCCGCGATTTCCGCGGCAAGTACATCCTACTCACGGTCTATGTCGACGACCTCCTCTACACAGGCTCAAGCAACGAACTGCTCGAGCAATTCGAGAAAAGCCTCGCAGGGCGCGTCGACATCTCCTGCAATCACGACGTGAAGCAGTTCCTCGGACTCAACATAACTTACGCGCCGGAAGCCATTCATCTCTCAGCAGCGAAGTATGCGGAGGAGCTTAGCAAGCGCTTCAACATTGCGCCTGCACCACTCTCTACCCCTTACCGCACTCCAGGACCCAACCACAAGCCTGACAATAAAGCCCTGTCCCCTGCTGGGCTTCACACTTACCAGCAGCTGTTGGGGTGCCTGCTCTTTGCATCTGTCACCTGCAGGCCCGACCTCTCCTACATCGCAAGCCAGTTGGCCCAGTACTCACGCAAACCAACGGCTGAGAACCTCTCAGACCTTCAGCGAGCTCTTCAATTCTTCATCTCCACGCCCAATGTCGGGCTCAGCTACTCCACCATCCCAACCGCATCCTTCAGTCTCGTCGGCTACGTGGATGCTGATCACGCCGCTGATCCTGACAATCGACGGTCCAGGACAGGATTCCTCTTCCGCCTCGAGCCCAGCGGCCCCATCTCCTGGAACTCTCGGAAGCAGGAGCTGGTTGCCCTGTCATCAGCGGAAGCAGAATTCATCGCAGCAACGGCAGCTGTTCGCGAAGGTCTCTACCTTCAGGAGCTGCTGCAGGAAGCGAAAATTCCGGCCTCAACGAACTTTCGCCTGCACTGCGACAACCAGAGCGCGATCAGGATCGCGAACAAACCTGGCTTCGTCCACCGTACCAAGCACATCGCACTGCGGTACTTCTTCGTCAAAGACGAAGTTGACAAAGGCAAGGTTGACCAGACATTTTGCCCTACAGGTGACATGGCACCAGACTTCCTCACGAAGAAACTGCCACGTCAGCAGTACCAGCACTGCTCCGAACTCAGCGGGATAGTCAAGCGGGTCAATGTTCGCCACGGCCAGGAGTGAAGGGGGGTGTTACGAATAGTGGTTAGTGAAAACACTATCGATCACTCCTCACCGTAGCAAGGCCGAAGCACGCAGTATCGAGAGTGAAGACGAAAAGGCAGAAGTAATGCGAAGGGACAGACGGTTACGAGGAGCATCTGGACCGTCGGGCAGACAGCATCAGGCAGCAGCAGTGACGAGGATTCTGCCCTAACAGTTCCGTAACCACCCGGAGCCGCACGGTTGGATTTCGCTGAAGTAAGGGAAAGTACCCCTTAGAGTACATGGCTAGCTAGGTCGTTTCGTATTCCCTTGTACTCGTATTTATATTCCTTGTACTGCATGTTTTTATCATCTCAAGCATTTACATTCATTCTCCTATTGAGGTCAAGGGCCCACCACCGCTAGATTAAAAGTGCGCGAACCTTTCGGAGGTGATCCTGGCTACGATCAACTTCTGATCGCAGCATAGAACATCTTGTGCTCAAGCAATACGCTCCTTGATTTCCTTCAACCCATTTCTTCCCAGATCGTTTTGATCGTGGCCCTGGGTGAAAGAGATTCCTTGACACCCTCCCAAAGCACCTCAAATCAAAAGCCATATCTACAACGCTTTATTCACTCAAGCATCGCCCTCCTCCGCAATCTCCTTCTCTGACTTCTTCCCAAACCCCTTGGGCGTGGCGCGGGGCGGCGACTTCATGGCGGCGCGGATCTCCGATGTGGCTGTCGGCCGCTTCACCGGCTCCGCTGCTGCCAGCTTCTCCATCTCCCTCTTGTCCTGCCAGTCCGTGTACGCCAGGTACGCCACCTGGGGAAGAGGTAGAAGGGAGAGGGGAGAGCAGCAGGAAAGTGGAGAGCAGGGATGGATGAAAAGGGGATTCACCGGCCCCGCTGCTGCCACCATTTCCATCTCCCTCTTGTCCTGCCAGTCCGTGTATGCCAGGTACGCCACCTGGAGTGGGGGGAAGGAAAGGAAGTGGGAGCAGGAATGGGTGAAAGGGGAATTTCCCGGCTCTGCTGTTGCCAGGTTCTCCATCCCTCTCTTGTCCTGCCAGTCCATGTACGCCAGATACCCCACCTGGAGTGAAGAGAAGAGAGAGGGGAGCAGCAGGGAAGAGGAGAGCAGGGATGGACGAAGAGCCCACTTCACCGGCTCCGCTGCTGCCAGCTTCTCCATCTCCCTCTTGTCCTGCCAGGCCGTGTAAGATATCTCCCCAGCTCGTGGGGGGTAAGAAGGTGGGGGGGGGGGGGAAAGAGGGCGCGGGGGCGAGGGGTGAGAAAGAGGGCAGCGATGAGAGGAGAGGAGAGTGAAACAGAGGGGGGTTACAGGCTCCGCTGCCGCCAGCTTTCTCACCGCGAGCTGGAGGGGAAGTGGGGAGAAGACGGGGCAGATTTTTTAGGCGCCTCAGAATTCGCCCCAGGTACTCCAGCTTTCTCACCGTGTGCTGGAGGGGGAGGGGGGGGAAGACGGGGCAGAGACACAGAGGGGGCTCGAAGAGGGGAGTCACAGGCAGTCCGTGCACGCCAAGTACCCCACCTGACGCACTGGGGGCCTCTGATTAGAAAGGTGCATGATTTTGAGCCTTGAGACGTCTCAACAACTCCGCTGTTGCTAGCCACCTGCTCGTGGTAAAAGGCACCGGGGTGTGGGAGTGAGGGAAGGCGGGTGGAAGGCCGGGTGCGTGGGTTAGACGACAGGGTACGGGAACGGAGCAAGCAGAGATGGAGAAGGGACAGGAGAGGCGTGACGAGGGAAGGAGATATCGTAAAGCGGTCGTATGGAGTTTCTCCACCTTCCCCTCACCCTGCCACCCCGAGTAGTGCTGCAACATGCCCCCCGTGCTCCTGGTGCGTGCATTGCTGGCACTGTGGCACGGACAGCAGGGGCGTATCGTCTGGGAGAAATTCACAGGCCAAATGGCCAGGACTGGAACAAGAGGTGTGCTTTCAGTGACCTGCGTTCAGTTTCCTTCCTGCCCGTAGGTTCCCTTTACAAAATTCTTTAAGGTTAACCACATTGGGCCAAATGTTGACCAACGTTGACTCGATAGCTGCAATCGAAAGCAGTACGGTTCCGAAGGTTCCTTCCTTGCTTGACAATTTGGACTTGAGAGTTCTCAAAAGTGTCTGACCACTGATTGAACCTCGAAAGGGCTTCGTGAATTTTTATCGTTCTATCTAATTTCAGGGAGGCACTCACCCCGCCAGTCAGAACGACCAATCCGACGACAGCGACGCCGAAGAGCAGCGAAATGATGCCGTTGGTAACGGGTTCGCCGCTGCCCGCAGCCGTCAGCACGTCGGCGCCGTTCTCGAAGAGCGGAACGGACTCCGCCAGGACGCGATCGGCGACGGTCAGCGGAAGCAGCGGGAGGAGAGATAGCAGGGAGAGTGGGATAGAAGGAGGGGAGGCGACGGGCTGAACCGTAACGGGAGGAGCTGAGAATGACGCCGACGCACGAGCTTCGCATTCTGAGGTGCGAGAGAGTTGACTGGAAGCCCGCGTGCATTCTACTGCGCGAGTGATGCTTCTTCTGGTTCTCGGAAAGGCATTGTGAAGGCTCGCGTGAAAGGCGGGCGTGGGACGTAATTGGCTGGCCGCGGCTCGGTATTGATGGAGGGAGACACGGACAAGATTGCCCGCCGCGATGAGCGGGATAGCTGTGAGAACGCCCAGCATCGCGAGGACGGATCGCCGCACGACGCGGATTGACGAAGAAACGCGTACGACGAGCCGACGCGCTGACCTTCGATGTACTAGGGGTACGACACGTGAAATTTATTTCACCTGTCACCTATGTTCACTACCTGCAGCAAGCAAGGCCCAAGACAGCCAAGGGAAGGGAATTGGGGAAGGGAGGGAAGAGAAGTGTCCAGCCTACGCTCTAGGCTATGGGAGCAGTTTTGGTTCCTGCCACGTGTATATTCCGAGATTGTCAGGGGCTTCGGAAGCTTCGGGATGCAATCAGGCTGTGCCACGTTGGCCTGGTTGGCTGACCAGCGTATTGGTCCTTACAGTCTTGTTCCACTGTTGATGAGTTGTTACGGGTGCAATGAATCGAAGTAGCGAGAATTGCACTAAGGTGTCAAACGAGTAAAAAATGTGAGCTAACATTTATACGCGAAACATGCAAACGGTAACGCGGTGCATGCGAGCTAGCTAGTGCTATGCTGGAGCGAGGCTCGGGCTAGTTCCGAAGCGTAGGCCGACACGGCCAGGCCAGCAGAGCGAGGTTTGGTGAAACAGTGCGCGCGAAGTCGGCGAAGCCCCGTTAGCAGTAACGGGCGAACAACGGCTGCTGCTGTATGCGATGTTGCAGGGTGGGAGGCAGTTGGTTTGTGGTTGGGATGTAGGGGCAAAGCAGGCTGACGTGGAACGAAGGGCTGATGTACCAGTCGGTCGGTAATAGTAGGTGCACGGTTACTGGCGTGATCATGTGGCTGATTTGGAATGGGCCACAGTAGCGCGGTTGGAGTTTTGGTACGTCGGGCAGTCACAAATTATGGTGTCGAGTAGTACGTAATCCCCTGACTGGTATGTGACTGGGCAGCGGTGGCGGTCAGCGTTGCGCTTAGTGATGACATTTGCTTTTTTAATTGCTTCTGCGGCTCTGGTGCGGGCAGCTTGCAGAATTTCGGCGAATTGCTATGCATGTGGTGTTGGGTTGTCCGGACTCGGCGTCATGGGCACTATAGGGTTTTGCCCGTAGTTCAGGTAGAAGGGGGACTGCTGCGTCGTCGCTGACGTGGCATTATTGTACGCGAACTCGATCAGCGGCAGCTGCTGCTCACAGGTCGTGGGGTCGTCGCACGTGGCACGGATCAACTGCTCCATCGTCTGATTCGTCCGCTCCGTTTGACCGTCGGTCTCGGGGTAGTATGACGAACTGAACTGTAGCCTGGTCCCAAACTGCTCCCAGAGGTTCTTCCAGAAGTTCCTGGTGAACTTCTCGTCCCTGTCGCTGATAATCGCTGCTGGTATCCCGTGCAAGCGAACACCGGCTGCGATGAACAGACGAGCGGTTTCCTCGGCTGAGATCGACTTTTTGCACGCAGCTAAGTGTGCCATCTTCGTCAACCTGTCAACGACGACCATCACCGCGTCGTTACCCCCAGGGTTCGAAGGTAACCCTGTGACGAAGTCCATGGTGACCTGCTGCCAGGCGCGCTCGGGCGGTGGTATCGACTGCAATTGACCCGCCTTCCGCTTCCTCGAGCTCTTCATCACCTGACACGTAGGGCACGAGCCCACGTGCTGCTGCACGTCGGTCAACAGCTCCGGCCAGTAGTAATACTGCTGTAGTTGCTGTCGCGTTTTTTCTGCCCCAAAAATGTCCCGAGGTAATTCCGTCGTGTGCCTCCTGCAGTAGCAGCTCCCTCAGTAGTCAGTACACGAGTACCCAGATGCGGTTGGTGCCTGTTTTTACGTACCGTAAGCTCCCGGATAGTAGACCCCCCGGAATACAAGACCCCCGGGTCTGTATTACGGGGGTGGGTCTTTTATTTTGGCAGGTTTTCACTATACCCCCCCCTAGAGGAGTAAACAATACTAGACCCCCTTCCTTATGGTTGTCACTAGTTCATAATGGGAATAAGATGTCTTTTCAAGTGCTTCACTAGCAAGACAAGCTTGACACCAATGCAACCTATTCACGGTTTGCATTTCAGAGATTTAGGGGGCAACAAGGGGTGAAAGGATTGACATGCCTCCCATTGAACAGTAGGGGTTGCTGCACGGGCCACCGTGCAGCCCCTGCGCTCGAGCCGTGCATGTGTCAGGGTGTCGAGGTGGGATGGCACGCTGACGAGCCACAACGCGAACCTCAATGCTGGAATGTGGTAACGTGCGATTTTGGCCAATGAGAAGGCCACAAACTGATTCCCCTATGTGATGTGGCTACATCGCAGAAGTCGCACATGTGCTGCCCAAACAACAGGGAAAAAGAATGTCAAGCATCCTCATCAATGAGGCATTCGATTACGTACACCTTTAAAAATTATATCAATTTAATAAGACCCGGGTACTAAACAATCTTGTGCCGTTGACAAGACCCCCCCCTATTTTTTTATGAATTTTACATAAGACCCTAGGGTCTACTATCCGGGAGATTACGGTAATAAACTCATTTAGCTTCTGCTAGTTGCTGTGAGATTCCAGTCGTGAAAAATGGGTCGGTGCGGTATATGTGGCTGAATAGGCCTGTTAAAAGCGGGTTGGTCTGGGCGAGTAGGATGGCGTGGAGTTGGGCGGTAGGGCGGGTGAGTGCGTCGGCGATGTTGGATGCGCCTTTCTTGTACGTAACCGTGTAGTTGGACTCAAGGTAGTCCAACCAGCGAATCTGTCGTCGATTGAGATTCGGTTGGGCGTGTAAGTACTGTAGTGATCGGTGGTCTGTCCGTACTGTTACGTCGGCGCCACTCAGGTAACACCGCCAAACCTTTAACGCGTGCACGATCACCAACATTTCGCGGTCGTGTATCGGGTAGTTGCGTTCGGGCGGGTGCAGCTTGCGGGACTCATACGCGATTGGCTGGAGGCCATTCCCGAAATCCTGCAACAGTACTGCTCCCACAATGACGAGCTCGAACGGATGGTGTGGGTCTGCTGTCAAGGTTTCTAGCAAGGCTTAGGAGCCATGGCTAGTGAGTTCGAGTTGAGAGGAAAAGTGTCGAGAGAAAAGGGAGATTCACTATAGGTTCAAGGGTACAAATATGAAAGAACAAGCAAGAAAGGTGCACCACCAAATAGGAAAACGCTATAACTACAGTAACCAATCCTATACGCAATTACATATAGAAAATATTAAATTATATTTTCCGACATCTGCGATGTGAAGCATGGGCGGTGAGCACAAAATTTTTTCGAGGGCCGAGAAGGCAGCTTGCTCTTTCTCCCCCCACGTGTACTCAACCCCCTTCCTCACCAGGTCTGTCAGCGGGGCAGTCAGCTTCGCCATGTTGGGGACGAACCGGCGCACGTAGTTGACGAACCCCAAAAAACTCTACAACTCGGTCAAGTTGGTCGGCGCGTGCCATGCTTGAATCGTCCCAATTTTCTTCGGGTCTATTTCCACTCGTGCAGCTGAAATAACGTGTCCCAAAAACTCCAGACGGTCGTGTAAAAACTCACACTTAGACGCTTTTGTGAGTAGGCGGTTTTCACTCAGTATTTTAAAAACTGCTTCGATATCCTGTAATTGTTGTGGTCTGTCAGGGCTGTAAATCAGTATGTCGTCCAGGTATACTATGACACACTTATCTAAGAGCGGGCGGAAAGCATCGTTCATGGTCAATTGAAAAGTGGCGGGAGCGTTGGTCAATCCGAAGGGCATGACGGTGTATTCGAAGGATCCGTAGCGTGTGCGAAATGCGGTCTTAGGGTAGTCGGACGGGTTGACGCGAATCTGGTGGTAACCCCCTCGAAGGTCGATTTTCGAGAAAACCCGGGCTGTGCGCAGTTGGTCGATCAGCTCGTCGGCTCGCGGGATGGGGTAACGGGATTTGATGGTAACCCTGTTCAGTGCTCGGTAGTCTATGCACATGCGAAATCCCCCGTCTTTTTACGGTATGAACAGTATCGGTGCTGCGAAAGGCGACGAACTAGGGCGAATGAATTCCTTCTCGAGCAGGTAATCGAGCTGCTTCCTCAGTTCGTCCAGTTCGGGCTGGGTCAGTCGGAGCTGTCGCTGTACTGTTGGCTGTGCCCCTGGTTCTAACTCTATCCTGTGGTCGTGCGGTCACTGAGGTGGCAGTCCCGTCGGTAAATCGTCCTGGAAAATGTCGCTGTACTACTTCAACAGTGCTGCCAGGTCACTCGGTACGTCGGCCAGCA